TACTTTTATATAGTTATTTGTTATTATATGACTATAAAATTAACTTAATTATTAAATTTACTAAATAATTTATTTATATATACAATATATGTTTAAAAATTGTTATATATATAAATATATTTTCATATTTTCAATGTTAATATATAAGTTATGTATTAAAAATATGCTGTTTTAAAAATGTTATATATATAAATATTTTTTGATATATACTATATATACTATGAAATATACTAAATAAATAAAATGTACCAAATAAATAAAACCTAATAAATAAATAAAATGTAATAAATAATAAATTAAATAAATAAAATATTATATAAATAAATAAAATATAATAAATATTTTATTTATGGAAATAAAATATAAAAAAGATATAATAATTAAATAAAATATAATAAATAAATAAAATATACTAAATAAGTGCATATATGTGTAACTTTTGACTGTGAGAAAAATAGAGACTTTAATATTAAGTTATATATAATTAATAATTTTTTTTTATAAAATCAAGAGTGATAGAAAAATTTTGACAATAGATTTATGCAAATGTGACATATCTAATTTATGGATAGACGATTTTTTCAGAATCTATGTGAAATTGTATTGTCTTAATCATTTTTAAATGATTCTATTAAAACTGTATTAAATAAGTCATATATTTGAATTCTCGTTTATATTTTCTAAATACATACAAATTTAATACAAAAAAGAAATAGTAAAAATTGACATTGAAACAATTTAAGTACGCAGAGGTGGTGAGGTGAATTCACACTGCACTTTACTCCTCAAACAAAAAAAGATATGAACTTTAAACTAATGGCTTCTCCGTGCCTACGAGTGTGTGGTGAGGCTTCACATTTTAATATTTTATGTGTTGATTTGCATGCGTGATAAACTCACCTTAAATGAATCTAATCAGCTGATTGTGTGCCGCAATTAATATTCAAATTCTGGTTGCAATTGAAGTAATGAATAGAAATTTATTTAAGCAACGAAAATTTTTGAGTTATATAAGAATGATTGTCTTATATATATACACATATATATGTATATATATAAATACATGTACACAACAAAATCTGCATATGTTATATAAGCCAAACTATTAATAGTGCTCGTCCAGACACTTAAGCAACTTTTAATAAAATTTAACAGCAAATATGTATTTTATTTATTTGTTGTTTATATTTAAATAATTTCCAAGTATATGACTTTAAGTATATAACTTTAAGGCGAGTAGTATTTGTTATTAAAACAATTTCAATAATGTTTCTTAACAATTTTTAGGCACTTAGAACGTTGTTTTTATGTTTTTTTTATAACAATAAATTCTTTATATTTTGCTTTCAGCTCGTAAGTTTAATCCTTCTCAGTGGATTAAATTAATAATAAACATTTGTTTTGTAAAATTACCATAACGGCTACTAAATTATTTTCACATTTCAAAAGTTTGCACTGCACTCACTTTTAACTTAATCAATTGTTTGTTAAAACTTGTATATAATTTAAAAAGTAAAATAATTTCACTTTATTTTCATAATTGTATTTTTAGTAAAACGTAAAAATTCTTTTCTAAACGCAAATATTGGTCTTAAGTAATTTGAATTCATAATTTTTATTTAAAGTTATTTGATTTGAAGTTATTTTGAAAATCGTCAACCGTTCTTCAGGCGCACAAGTGTTGCTTTCGCGACGAATCCAACACTTTAAATAAATGTTTAAGCAAATTTTGAATTTGCTAACAGCAACATTGCGATTTCTGTTCTAATGTTGTTCGGTTTTGTCCATCCCGTTTGTTCTCGCTTCGGCTACAAATCGACAAAACGCAAATGGCAGCAGCGTAAACAACAACAACAACAACAATGCAAACATAGAACACAGCACGAACAAAACTTTGCGTCGTTATCGTTATAATTTGCAACAACAACACCAACAACAATAATAACACACTACGTTGTTGTTTTTGTTATTCTAACACTCCAAAGTCACGACAATTTTGTTAGAATGTTGTGTGCTTGTATGTGGGGGAAGCAGAGAACTTTCGCATAAACAAATGTATATGCATTATATGGGGTAGTATAATGAAGAAAAAGACAACACTTAAAATACTAAAAAAAAAGCCGCACTATGGCTAAAAGCGCTCCAACACATACGTTCAAGTCCAAAACACGATTAGAACTAAAGTTACTTAAAATTTTTTCATACACAACAGTGTGTGTCATACACAAACGAAAATATTCGGAATAAAAGCCGAACCGACGAAGTGAGTGGTGCGTTCGGTATTGTTGTTTTTGTTATTATTTATGCTTTTGTTCGTATGTTACCGCTGTTGCTGCTGTTTTGGCAAACTTTAAGTTAAAACATATTCAAAAATCAGAAGACAAGATGGAAAAATATAACATAATTAAAAAAAGTAATAAACGTTAAAAAAAAAACAATTAATAAATAAAGTTAAAAAAAAAAATCAAATAGAAATAAGAAGTATAATAACAAAAGCTAAAATATTTTAAGTATTTAAGTTGTCATAAAGAACTGAAAAATGGGGGTTGCATTGCGGCTAAATGCCAACACACTGTGTTTATAGACTCACACATGCACATAAGCAAAAGAGTTTATTAGTAAATTGTTTTAAATACGAAACAAAGGAATGAAACAGAAAGTGAAATAAAGCACAACTAAAAACAAAAACGGCGTGTTTTTGTTGTCTCTATTTTCACATATTTTTCATACAAATAAATAACATATTTACCAACACATAGTACTTTAATATAAATACACTAAAGTTTTGCTCCAACAAACAATTTGAAATTTCTCATTATTCACTAAAAAAGAGTAACAGTGTTGCTTGTTTACATGGAGAAAAAAAAGAGCACGTTTTTAATTCTACGAACACTAATGCACACTGTGTGAGTGGGTTAAAAGCGTGATTTGTTTTTGTAGCCACTGCACAATAAACAAACTAAAATAACTTTATTTCTCACCGCCAACCCAATGAATTCGACTGTGTGCATGTTTGTGTATTGTTCTAATACCGGCATTTTACAGCAACACAATTTTTTTTTTTTTTTTTGATATTTGTAGTATTGTGCTTTGCTGTTTTTTGCTTATAAGTTTTGTGGCTTGCTTTTTGACTTTTTGTCGCACACTTAGCACTTACAAGTGAATGTGTTATTTTCTTTTCATTTGCTTTTATTCATTTCATTTAATTTTCATTTTATTTTGTTGTTAATCTCCCCAACTCCATTTCGGCAATTTTGGGCAAGTTGAAGGTTAAATTTCGGTTAGAATTTTGTTATTTTGCTTCTGTGTTTTCGTTTGTTTGCAGCTCTTGTGCATGCGCATGGGTATTCAAATATATGCAGAAGCGCAGCAAGCATGACCTTGAATTTTGGAAATGCATTAAGGAGAACTGTGTTTCATATTTTTGGTAGTATTGGAGTTTTTTTTCATGGATTAACCCAGTAGAAAACGGATCGATCCGTCATCGAAGACGTCTTCAAGACATGGATACATACATGAAGACTGATCGATCCAAATGTATGACGGTCTTCGAAGACACTTTCATACAAATTAGCCAAATGTCTTCAATGAATTTTTGCGTACATGTCTCGAAGACCGTCTCGAAGACCATGTCTTGCATAACGGACGCATTCGACAGAAAGTTGTGCGCTCTTAGTGCAGTGCTCATTTAATTTTTTCACCCTTTTTTTATTTCTACTCTTTTATTGCGCTCTTTAAATTTTAAATGAATTTAAATTTTCTCTTTAAATAAGTAGAAAGAAATTGTTGTATTTTGTACTTTTATTTATTTTATATAATAATTTCTTAAATTACATTCAAAATTAAAAGTTTTAAAAGTAAATTATAAATTTTATTATAAATTATTATAAATTTTATTAAGATATTAAAAATAAACTAGTAAAAACTAGAAAACATAATGAAAATTAATTTAAATAATTAACTTAATATAACTTAGCATATCTAAAATTAACTAAAACTAATATAAAATAATTTATAGCATTTCGCTATCATCAATTGTTGAAGTTTTATGTTTTCAAAAGCGTTGAAGAGGATTTTGGTACAATTAAACCTTCTGATCTTAAGAGTTCTAAAATATCATTACCACAACGCCTGTTAATCCTGTGTTTTTTAAATATAACAGCTAATTTTTCATAAGTGTTTTTGGTTTTTTTATTTTCAACATCATTTGTTTCGTTTCTTAAACAACTTTCACTGGAATTATTGTCTTCAATATTAATATCAATATATTTTCCAGGAACTAAGTCACTATTTAATTTGTTTTGATTTAATTTCTTTTTTTTTAATATTTCGTAGTTTAATGATTTTGTTTCTTTATTTATTTTGATTTTTTTAATATTTATTTCACTACACTTCAAAATTATTGCGTCAATTCATTTATAAAACATAGCGTCATCTGAGGCAAAATTCAAATACGTTGCTATGAACACTAAAAATGAGAGAGAAAGCAAAGAAAGAGTATTTACATTCATGTTTTGAGCAATTGTTTTACAAATTTGCTTGAAAATGCGGACGCGGTATCAAAGACCGTCTTGAAGACAATGTCTTCGAAGACCACTTTTTCTACTGG